ACAGGAATTGGTGGTAACTTCGTTTGCCTCATTGCGCCACACGTCGCTGGGCATTTAATTCGATTTTCGGCTTCGACTTGGGAGGAAGTGGCTGTGGCTGTGGCTGTGGCTGTGGCAGGGGAAGTGGCAGCGAAAGTCGGTTAGTGGCTCGTTCGATGGGTAGTTAGTCCAAGGTCCTGCAGTGGTTCGTTTCAGCAGTTTTAGTTTTGCTTTGCCAATCGATGATTGTGCGATGGAACCTGGGCTCCCTTAAGGGCAAGGCTCAATAATCAGTCGTCAGTCCTCAGTCTGCAGTCCTCAGTCGTCGGTCGTCGGTCGTCGGTCACATATCAAAACTGACGCAATCTCCCTTTCAATTAGAGACAAAGTGCAAGGACTAGCTTCGAATGATGGCGAAGGAGGAGTGACGCTTGGCCCGGCCGCATTAAATGCCATTCGATGGCATCTCTCAGGCCAGGCTCCCCCGCCCCAATCCCCCCCTCTGCTTTCGCTAGCCAGCCACAATCCCTGTTCAACATTTTATGCATTCCACGCGCTCTCGTCCTGCCCGCTCCCTCCCCTTGCTGCCCTTTCGTTTAGGGTTCTGGCTGGCAAATTGAATTTAAAAACTCAATAATAATCAGTTTATTGCGTATACGACCAGTGGAGCGGAAACGACGACATTTGCATGCGGCTCTCAGGCGGCTAAGGGCTGGGAGGTGGTATCTGCTGGTATCTGGTGGCATAAAAGTATCTTTTGCTGTTGCCACTGCGATAAGGTGGCAAATGGCAAGGGCATGACATCTCTTCTCGATCCGCCGTCCGCTGGGCACCATCATCATCATCATCATCGCCATCGTCTGATGCACCTACCGAAGGTTCTCCAAAAATAATGACGTCGGCTCATGCCCTCTCTCTCTCTCTCTCTCTCTCTCTCTCTCTCTCTCTCTAAGGTATCTCTATCTTTTTCATGGTTATCTAGGTCAGGGGCTAACAGCTCGTCGTCGTTGTCGTCGGTGTCGTCGTCGTCGTTCTCTCTGTCGTTTGTTGTCCTTAGAGTCGTTGACGTTTGTCGGTTGCGGTTTTTCCTCAGCCGCTTTTCCTTCGCGGCTTTTCCTGGGACTAAAGCGTTCATGCTTGTAGTACCTATGACGTTGCAACACCTCCCCCTTGCCCCTTGCCCCTTGCTGCCTGCACACACACACACAATTGAATCGGCCATGATTTTGGGGGCGGCTGGGAGCTGCTGGCAGCTGGGAGTGGCTCTAACTGCATTTTGGTTCATTGCGTTCCCTTCTGTTCGACATTTTGGTTGGGAATTTATTTATACATTTCCCCACACACACACACCCCTCCCGCCCCCCGCTCCACCTCTTTGGGTTGGTTTTCTGTTCAGTAGAGCATATGGCATACCCTTTCACACCCCCCCCTTCACTTATTTATAAACCAAAAAACAAGAAACAAGAAACAAAGGCTATCCCGAGATCCTGATGCCCTTCCCTCAGTCGTTTTTCGTGGCATTTCGTGGCGATCCCTGCCTATGGACAGCTATCCGCAATATATATACAATACTGTGGGGTATATCCCCCCCCCCCCTTCCACCCTCCCCCCTCCAAAAGGGTATTGAAAGGCCAAACAACAGGCGTGGCATGGCGTCGTTGTGGCGCTTCGTGTATTGCATGGAAATGGATGCTCGAGAGACATAAATAAACTGCAGCTAATTTGAATGCACCAGATGTCCTTGGGACAACGCCACCAGGCAGCAGGCAGAGCAGGCGGAGCAGGCAGGAGGCACCCTTCGACCCCATAACAATTGCAACAATTTGCAACAAACCAAGTGCCTCCTCCACAAGGATACGCGTACACCCCTGCTCTGTGCTCTGTGCTGTGTGTTTCGGTTGTTTTTAGGATCATTCCAACGCCTCTTTTCCTTTCATTTACTTTCATTCAGGCAAAGGTCAGGCCCCGCCGTAGAACAAAGCCCAGGGTCCAATCCGAGGGACCACTTGACCCACTAAAATTTTAAAGAATACACCCAAGATAAAGGACGAGACGAGCCCATCCTTGGGCTAATCCTTTCGGAGAATGAATGGCCCACAGATGGTTACAGATGCGATGCGATGGCACTCCGGGGCTTAACCCAAATATGTTGGCAAATAATGAAGCTCTTTGTTGGCCCGCATTCTCCAATTGGCCTTCGACCGGTTGCAAGAGCGCGGATGACGTCACCAGCGTCAGGACACACACATGGGCACGGAGGATATGGGTGCACGGATGGGCTGATGGGCTGATGGGCTGATGGCCGCTGCTCTGCTGAATGTCACGCCCCAAAGCTCAGGTTAATTTTAGCCAAAGCCAAAGCCAAAGCGACAGGCGATAGGGCGATGGGCGACAGACCATAATTGGCCGCGAAAAAAACAAATACAAAATGTCGAGAGAGAAAAAACCGAAATAGCAACAAGAAATATGCCAATAGAAGCGTGTGCCCCATAACACTTAAGAGGCTTACCGCACCGCACGCGCCACAGCCGCCCGCCCTGGAAAGTAGGCAACATTTTTTGGGCCAAGTGGAGGGGCACCCCACAAAATCTTTTGACAAATGAGGGGCGCCCACAAGGGGCACAAGTATTTTAATTGTTTTGGTGAATCCCGGTTCCGGTCGTGGTCCCGGAAATGTAAAACGGGGGCGCGGGACCATTAAGAGCGCCAAGGAGTGGACACGGCAGAGCGCAAAGGGAGTGAAATTGTGGAGCCACAGATAACGAGATATGACGACGAGACATTTGATAGATGATGGAATGGCAAAAGGTTCTAGAAGGTAGCTCTAAAAGAAGGCTAAGATCCTCTGCACTACCATCTAGACATAAGGGATAATGGAGAATGGGTAATGGATACGATAGTGGATAAAGGGGAGAATCCCAAGGCAGAGATTCCAAGGATATCAAGTCTATTCCATCATCAGTTTTCCATGGATACCCTGTGATTTGCATAGAACCAAAAACAAATGTCAGGGCAATGTCGAGAGGAGAGTCCCAGAGTCCTCGAGTCCGGCTTCAATTAAGAACCCGAGAGGCTGTTAAGTCCAGGCCATTTGTCGGGCCAGAAGAAGGGATTATCAAAGGCAGTACCACAGACACGCACACACACACACACAGACGCACACATGTACTTGTAGATATAAAATCTGGTAGCCGTATCCTTCAACTGCAGTTTAAATGCCAAATCAGCGCAAATTGTTCGTCTGGAGAGAGAGGGAGAGGGAGAGAGAGAGACAGAGAGTGGGGGCCAAGAGGAGGAGGAGGAGAAGGGTTTGCAGTGCTGGGTGCTGGGTGTTGCCAAAAGGACCTTTGGCTTCTGCAGCAGGTTCTGGCTGTTGTTGGTTTCATAATGTCACTCGAACGCACAGCTACAGAGACAGAGACAGGGGACGGTGAGGGTGGGGGGGGAGGACAGAGCAGAGACTGCAATGTCCTTGCAGCATGGGGGTTCATTGGCCCAAAACATTGAGCTGCAGCCTGCAGTGCAGAGACCGAGAGAGAGAGAGAGAGCTGGCCAAGAGAGAGAGAGAGCAAAGCTGAGCAGAGCCAAGCCAAGCCGAGCAGAGTCCAGGTTCAATGCACGGCAAGTAGGTTATAAAAAACAGTCAAAAGGCCGGCCCTAGGCGCTAAGATACAGCCTGTGCGCTATGACGTCACACAAAAAAGCGGCAAGCACACAGAAAGCGAGACAGAGAAAGAGCGCGAGCGAGAGCGAGAGCGAGAATGATAGACATAGACAAGAGAAAGAGGTGGCCAGGGGGGGAGGTGTAGAAGCGGCTTAATTTTCAGTTGAGAAAACCCGAGAAATATGCCAACTTTTACTTTTTCCCTCTCTCTCTCTCTCTGTCTCTACCCCTTTCATTGCCTTGTGTGTGTGTGTGTGTGTGTGTGTGTGCGTGTGTGAATGCATGTGAATAAGTGTGAATACACCCATTCGAATGGCGAAACGAGTCTATAAAATGGGCACAAGGGCATTCAATGCGGCATTTATGCTGACACTAGAACGGGTTTTTCCTCCTCCTGCCCCAAAAAATATATAAAAAGAAGAGAAAAACACACATAAATGAAACAAAGGAAAACGTAGGAAAGAACCCATAATACGAGCACAATAATCAATCAGTGCACGTGCGGCACATTCGATGTTCGATAATACATCGATGTCGATGAGGCGAAGATTAACAAGTCGGGGCGAAGAAAAAGAGGCTAGACACTGGTCTAGTCTCATTAGCATTCGAAGGCAGATCGAATGGGGCACAGGCCACAATGGCTGCCAGGGGGCCAGACATCGCGGAAGACCCAGACGGGGAGATACCAGGACAGCACCAGGACAACCAGACGACAATAAAGCCGCAAGACATCGAAGCCGCAAACAATACTCCGAGCCCTGACGGATAATGGTGGGAACCAGACGCAAAAACACCACAACAAGGGGCCGCAGCCGGGCTGCAATTATTTACACGGATACGATAGCCGTCCTACAATGTTTTCCACTTCAGCGTGAACTTGTGAACCTGTGGCCCGGTGTGTCCGGTGTGTCCCGTGTGAAGGCTGCCACGCGTTGTGTCACGGGCTAATTATGAGAGCGGCCTACCTTTTGACGCCCCACCAAGAGAGGCGGGGGAGTAGGCCCCAATAAATGGGCATGAAAAGGGACATTTTAGGAGCAAGAGGAGCCATTTATACCCAAACTAAGGCAAATAAGGGGCGTGGTGGCCTCTGTTCCGCACACGAGAGCCTATGGAGTGCATTCGAGCTTGGTGGGGGCGGTGGCCGCCATTGAAGCCAAAGGAAAACCCATAAAAAAATGTACAAAAATATTCCATTTGCGAGAGTGAAAAACAGAAGAAGGCGTACATTTCCATCAGTGGAAAATTCTTAAAAACGAAAAGCACAAAAATCAACCGAAAAGTACAGAGTGGAATCTGCATGAGGCGGAAAATGCGTGGGGAAAAGCGAGCGAGAAGAGTGGGAAGCAGGAGAGAGTAACAGGGAAAAGGGCCAAAAGGCAAAGCTTTATTAATTTATTGGCTAGTATAAGGAACAGCATTTGCTTTGAGTATCTTCAATATGTCCTCTCGTTTCCTACTTCGGATAGGCCACGTCCTTCTCGAAGAGGTAGCACTGCAGCCAGTTGGAGCCCTTGTGCTTGCCACAGAACTCGGGCTGCCAGTTCCAGATGAGATGCCGCGACTTGGCCTCCGCGCTGGCGAATCGGTTCCGGTTGCGGCGGCAGGCGTCGACGAAGCGGCCGGCCAGGCGCTCGGAGAGCTCGATGCCCTCGCGGGAATGGGCCTGGCTGCTGGTGTCCTCGCAGGCGTAGAGCTGCTCGAAGGCGGCCCGCTCCGGGTGGAACTGGCAGCCGAAAATGGGGAAGCGCCGGTGCTCGATGAGGCTGACGAACTCGCAGCCAGCGGGGTCCTTCTGCAGGGCCAGGGGCTGCCAGTCGGCGGTCAGGCCGTACTCCTGCAGGCTCTCCCTGGTGATGCAGTAGCCGTGCTGGTGGCTGGCGAAGCACTCCTCCGGCAGGTCCATGAACAGCTTCGACTGGCGGTAGTCCTCGGTGAGGCACACGGGCAGGGCCTTCCTCATTGACTGGCACTTGGTGCGCACCTTGGTGCTCTGGGCGGCGTTGATCAGCAGCAGCTGCATGCCCAGGCACGTGCCCCACAGCGGAAAGTATCCCTCGGGGTCGCCGGCCCCGTTGTTCCGCTCCATGGCCAGCTGGTAGATGAGATCCGCCGTTCGGACACAGTCGTTGGTCAGGTCGGGCCGCGACTGCCTGTCGGCCTCATCGATGAAGACGGCCCCGCCGGGCAGGAGGATGCCGTTCAGTTGATTCATCAGCGAGTCGTAGTAGGAACGATTGTGGCCAATCCTGAAAGGAGCACCGCATCGCATGCATATCGTTGATCAATTTCTGTTCGATTCTATATCGATAACGATATAGATAAAGATATAGAGAGCAGGTGGAGAGCGGCAAACGAAAGTGAAACAATGAAATAGTGCGCTCTCATCTTTCTCTTTCTCATTTCATAGCCCAAAGCGTTTGGCACTCCGCCCACACGGGAGGCGGTTGGACGCGGACCAAAAATCGAGGCAACAGCACTTTTCACTCGATTCTGCGATTTGTTGTTTATGTTCGCCGGGATCTTCCCCACTTACCAGACGGGCACAACGTGCGCCCCCGCGGCCTCCAGCTGCTTCACGTATGAGGCCGCCAGATAACTGTGCCACTTCTTGCCGTACTCGGCCTCCAGCCACTGCGCCACGTCGATGCACATTATCCCAATGCAGGGGGTGGCCTTGGGGGATTCCGAATTTGCGAACATGTCTCTGTGCCTTTGTGTGTTTTATTTGTTTGCCAAGCGTTCTGATTTCTCGAAGAGCCAAAACACGACTGAGAAATCTAAGCAAGTGCGATCGATGGGCTTCCAATGCATTTCGCGCATATGGAAATGCGTGCGTCTTGGAGAAAGAGCCCGTGCTGTCCAAAGCTGCTCTTCTGCTGACCTTTGTCGTGGTATAGTAGATAGCACAAAATCCGTATGCTGTCAGGCGTTGGAGAGCCCTGTAAATTAGTGTTTGCGCCCAAAAGAGACACATTCTGTATATCTATCGTGTATGGTATATTTTATATACGTTTTTGATTGTGTTTTGCGTTTCATATCACGCCGCTTGCCTTAACTTCCGAATTTTGGTGCAAGTCTTAACAGATAGTGCCAGATCGACATGTGACATATCGTGAGATAAGCACCGAGGTGCTTCAAAAGTTCTTTACTAAATCGTGAATCATGGATATATGCATAAGAGCCGGTAGAGCAAGTAAACAGTGTTAATAAATTTTTGCCGGAGGTCTTCGAAGATCATTCATCCATCATGACAAGGCGAGCTCTCGCACATCTCGACAATATCGAATTGATAACTCATCCGCCCTTTATAAATGGCATATATGTATGCTTGGCCTTCAATGGAACCGGTGTTCCGTGAGTTTACATTGTATATGTTAATATTTTGTTGATTTGTAATATTTGGAATGCGATTTATATGAATTTTAGATAAACAAATATAGTTTCCAAATAGTTTAAATTAAAATTACTATATGTACGTGAGTAGGAGTCAAGTCTTCTTAGTCTTCTTCTCTCCTTAGAAGCTCTGCTGAGGTAAATGAGGGTACGGTATGAATGGCTAACATATATATATATGGTAACGATGAGTGGCTGTTGTGGCGACGAGCTTAGAGGGTGTTCGGCAATCAAAGCCGCAAAGCCTAAGACCAAGGGAGGACCTAGGACCATATATATGTAAGAGAGAGCGGGATAGCGAGAGAGCTGAGTCCGTCGCTAAAGTCGTAAACAAGAAATTATTATTAAAAAAAAAACACCCACGAACTATTATAAAACTTTATGAACATTCCTAAGAAAATTAAGAGAGAAAAAAACAAGCAGTATGCAAAGAGTGCGAACAAAAACTCACCTCAAAAACAAACCCTTTCATCTCTTTGGACCCATAAGCGTGCTCCTTGCTGCATTTTTGTTGTTGCCCTACGCCGACGACATATTTTCTGATCCGAACCGAAAACGTAAAGGCACACGCACACATTCAAAGAAATACCGATTATGCCGAGCACAGGTTGTATCTTGTATTTTGGGCAGGCACTCGGAATGCCTCGCCCTGCAAGAGAGACACCTTGGAATGAGAGCGCCGCAGCTGATCGCTTAGCTGCTCTGCCCGTGAACGAACGAAACAAAAAGTGATGTCATAATATGCTTATACGTATATATATCGAACAATATCCATATCAAATGGATAATGCATTTTTAGCTTATTTTTTGTTTTTTTTTTGCGCCACTCTGCCTTTTGTGGCGTTGCCCCGCCGCTGCCACTGGCCTTCATTTTGCAAACATTTTTCCTTCCATGAACAAACTATTTTTGGAAATGTTTAATTTTTAAACAATGAAACAATGCACTGCACACCTGCACGATATTTTAACGGTTTTAACGGCCCGGAAAGCGGAGCGAGTGCACGTGTGGACCTGGCGAAAAAATTAATGCGAGAGCGGTACAAGCGAGACCGTTCATAGTCCATGCTCTCGTGCTCTTCTTCCCAATCGGCTCTCCCCTCACCACTCATCCTCTCTCGTTGGCTACTTTTGCCAATTGCTCTGCTCTCTCCTCCCAGCTCTCTCCCACTGCACGGCGAGATCAGCTGTTGGTGCGAGTGAGTTGGAGTGGGTTGTGAGTGCATTGCAATCGCGCGTTCTTTCTTCTCTTCCTAATTTCTCTCGCATTCTCTTGCTCGTCAAAGTGCGAGTAAGTCTCTCCCTATAGATCCCATACGAATCAGGGGGATCGAGCATACTATGGCATGTGTGTACATTGTATATCCCGCTGTCAAGATCGCTGGGATGGTGGCAAGAAGAGAAATAATACATATCTTAAAGCCGGCTTCCTCTTTGGCATTTTCGAGCGGAGATCTGCGCATTCCTGGTGATGCCCTCCCCCCTTATCCAATCTACAAATCAAACAGCTGTAATTTCAGTTAACAAAGTGCATTCTGTAGTCGAGTGAGCACAAGTGTTGTAATTAAAAAATCCACTTGACGCAACTTCCAAGCAAGGGCAGAATAATCGGGCTAGTGGTGTGGCATGGCGTTGAAGGAGAATGCGAGGAGAGAGCGCAGAGGAGCACAGTCTTTCGGATTGCGAATTTCCCTGAATTAAAACGCACTGCTGCATGGCCTGCAAGCTGATTTCAAGGGAAAATCAGAAGTCAATTGAAGATAGTCCCATTGCCAGAAGAACGAGGAGGGGGCCACTGCCGATGGAGAGGAATGCAGCAGCTCCTTTTCCATTTCCGTACGCATTGCCGGGATAGTAGCTGGGCGAGTCGTCCCCATCATCTCCCCCCTCCGAACCAACCTCCTCCAGTTGCATTTCCTTGTTGTTGAACAGATATTGCTGGACATACGAGGAGCCCAGTATCGAGGTATACTCCGGCTTGTAGTTGTAGATGAGCATCCGCGCCTGCTCCGTTTCATTGGCGAAGGTCTGGGGGCTCCGGCGGGCCTCGTTCACAAAGAAGTCGGCCAGGTACTGCCCACTCAGCACCGCCGCGGCCGAGTGGGGAATGCTCGACCGCACGAACTCGTAGAGCGGCTTCTCCGGATGAAACTGAACGCCGTAGAAGGGATACTTCAGATGCTCCATGGTGGAGATGAACTCGACGCCGTCCAGGTCGTTGTTCAGAGATACCACGCGCCACGACTTGTTCAGCTTATCCCGCACAAAGTCCGCCTCTGTGTAGCAGAACTGATGGTAGTGATAGGTGACATTATTCGCGACCATCAGAGCCACAACATCCTCCCTGCTGGCATTGAACAGACGACTCTGCTTGTAATCTATCGAGACGAGGGATCAAAGCATGCCGATTGTTCGATGAGCGTATCAGTTTATCAGAGAAGGGTTGATTGATTGGAATGTACCTTCTTTGAACACCATGGGCAGGGCCATGCCAGATGCCCGGCAACTGATGCGATGGTCGGTGCCATTGGCCAGCTTGTAGACGAGCAGCTCCATGCCCAGACAAGTGCCCCAGACGGGCATAAAGGTGCCATTGTCATTCAGTTGCACTGCCAATTGGATGAGATGTTCCCCCGCGTCGGCGTAGCCATTGCTCTGGTTGAACCACGTTGCACCTCCAGGCAGGAGAACCCTAGACATCGATGATTTATGGAGAGGAGGAATTCGTTGATATACTTTTCGATTGTAAGCATGATCATCATTTTGGCCAGTCACTCACCCGTTTATCTTGTGCATGAGATCTTCGTAGTAGCTGCGATTACGTCCAATCCTTTCGAGATATCAAGAAAATGGTTTATTAATTACATTTTCGGCAATCTTATCGTTTCGCTTTTCGCGTATATTAACGTATTTCTGTTCTACAAATAAACACGTTTGTCTCCTCTCAATCTTATCGTAGGTTCTGGGATTTCCACCGCCACGATAAGATCTCTTTTCAAATGGAGAGTATCTGTGTCTGTGGTCCACTCACCAAATGGGCACCACTCGGGCACCAGCACCCTCCAGATACTTGACATACGAGGCGGCTATGTAGCTGGTTTTGTTCTCGAAATGTCGCGAAATCAATCCATCCGTGTAGACCTCCTGCGTGAGCACACCAATCACAGGGGAACTGTTCGCCGAAGCTGCCACAAGGAGGCTACCCAGAACCAGCAGACAGCCGAATGCAAGTCGATGCATTATAATGCGCATTGTATTCTATTCTGTCGTGTGTCGTGTGTCGTGTGAGCGCCTTCAGCGTTGACCAAGAACTGCCCAATGCTATGGCGAGCACACTCAAATTTATAGACAGCCCATTTGTGGGTAAACAATCGCTCGATGACGCGACAACAGGGGCTGCACGAGGGCTTCCCTCTCCTCCCTACCCTCCGCTCTTACCGCTTCTGATTTCAGTCCAATAGATAGCGCTGCGATTAATTGATTACATTACCCGTACCCGTACCCGAACCCGTACCCGTACTAGTACTCGTACTGTTTACTGTCGTCGAGGGTGCAAGGGTTTCGTTCTATTCGGATCCGGGTACAGGCAGCGCTCGATGCGGGGGAAGAACAAACTCAGACTCTGAGAGCCCTGCGCTTTAAGCCACACTCAACGGGCATTCTCTCACAGCAACAGCAACAGCAACAGTTGAAGCAACAGTTATGCCAGTTAACGGATGCGATAAAAACTAGTTAGTCATCGACTACCATATGTCATTGTCACTAATTACATGGCGAATTTTATTTGCCGATATTTGTTTATAGCTTAGTTTATTGGTTTCTTCTTCTTAGGTTGTTTTTTGGCCACTTTTCCAATCAGCTGGTCGGCAGGCAGAGGTGTGTTTCGGTTATCGATTGCTCCCGAGACTGGAATATCGAGTCTTCAGCTGCCGCCCAACAGGCTTTGTTGCTTCTGCTTGATGCTCGCCTGGATGCTCAGCAGATACTTCATCTCCACGAGGGTGCCCTTGACGCTGGCCAGGTCCTTGGCCTCGAATTGGATGCCCAGCTTTTGGACCAGGGCCTCCAGTTCCCGGACAATCTGTGCATTGAGTTTGTCGAGCTCCGTGCTGTCCTCCGCCTCCTCCACCTCCTCGTTGCGCTCCATCATGGCCATAAGGAACTCCTTGTTGAGCGTACTATTGTCCTCCGGCATCTGCTGGCCCTCCAGCTGCAGCAGGTACTGTCCGCGCTCTATCGGCATGGCGAGTGTCTTGTAGGCCTTGTTTATGAGGGAGCTCCAGTCCGCGGAATTGGTTTGCTCTCGAGAGGTTCTGCTCGGCGAGAGGGAGGGAAAGGAAAGCCAATTTGATTGGGTTGCTGATCGCTGCTGATTGGGACTCACTTGTTGCTGAACTTGTCCGGATGCACCAGGGTCTGCAGCTGGCGGAAACGCTGTGTCAGTTGCTGCCCCTCCAGGTTGAAGTTTGTGGGAAAGCTCAGCAGCTCAAAGTAGTTCTAAAACGATCGGAAACGAAGCTGTTTATAGCCTGCCAGTCTGTCAGTCTGCCATCCATGGATAGCTAGCTATCTACTCACTATAGCCGCATCTACATCCTGCAGGTGTCCGCACTCCGAGCAGATCATGTGCTGCTTCAGCACCGACTTCTTTTCGCAATTCCAGCAAGCCGGAGTCGCGGTGGAGGCGGCGGCTCCGAATTTCCGCCTAGCTACTACACCATATGGCACTCCCACTCTGGCACTTCCAGCAAAATTTGTTGCTATCAATGCACTTTTCAGAACACCAACCACAGAACGCATACTTAACCATAAACAAAAGGGCTCTCGCAAACACAAGCTTTGTATTACACAAGTTTGTGCAAATAAAAACAATAGTCAGCTGTTCGAGTATTTTCCATTGGTCTGGCCACACACTTAAAGTAAGAGTAGTGTTGTACAACGCAGCATACTGGGATGAGGGCTTTTATTCAAAAACTTTATTCAATTAATTTTTGCCACTTATAATTATTAAAATAATATTCGTTAAATGCAAAAGTGCTTAGAAAAGACCCGAAAGAAAAGAAAAACAAGAAGAGAAAGATGCAAAAGACAAAAAAAGTGCCAACGCGACACATACAACTTGCTCCAGGTGAGGCTCGAACTCACAACCCCGGCATTGCTCATAGACACTGAATACTGATTATAAGTACCGTGCGCTAACCAATTGCGCCACAGGAGCCTTCGGAAATTTTTTTGCAAAATGGGGTTCTTGAAATCCGACCCGGCACCCGGAATCCTGTTACAACAATGCGACGGACACTGGAAAACACGACCCAAAGACAGGCTTAAAGAACAGAACACAAAGTAACCAACAATTGGAAATGAAATTGGACAAAATTCGTGTATATATGTATAAAATTTATTGAAATACGTTAGGCTTACAAAACTACATGGTTTTCAGGGCTTAGGGTTAGAGGATGGGACTCTTCACATGGAGTCCTTTCTGTACGCACGATAGCTATTCATTTCGTTGGGAAACGTCTTGTACAGCTCGAGCAGCAGATTCGACTTGAACTTCTTGAGGCTCTCGATCTTGCCCTTGACCTCCTCGTTCTTGGCCAGGGCCTTCTCCACGCAGTCCTTGGTGTAGAGCTGCGGATTCTTGTCCTGGTCGATGTAGTCGAAGAACACCTCGAAGGGCACATACACGTCCTGTACCTGGTTGCGCAGTTTGTCGATCTCCTGCAGGCCGGTGACCAGGCTGTTGCTACAGGTTCCACAGAAAAGAAAGAGTAGAGTGTATTGTGTGTCGCTTCATTTCCATTGACATGTCTTACATTTTCTGGTTGAGGACGTTCTGACCCTGCGGCTGGAAGTCGCTGACGATTATGCGTATCTGCCGCACATTCTCAATGAACATCTCCAGCTGCGTCTCCAGGTTCTCCAGCGGTGCAGACATATTTAGGCAAGAGATGCACTCTATTAGTTGTACACTTTTCTAATTTTTATTTTCTTTCTCTGCGGTGCTTCCCTTTCTGCACTACGCAATTATGAGTCGATTGTTGATCTATCGATAGGTAGTCATATATATCGATACTGCCCGCTGTCACACTTTTGCGTGCTTCATGCTATTAATACCGACAAAATTGTTCGATTCTCTAACAAAAGTTAATATTTAAATATAAACAAAAATGTCTGATGGCGATTTAGATGCCCTACGCGCCCAGCGCATGTCCCAGATGCAGTCGCAAATCGTAAGTGCAGCGCCCCTTGAAGACGGCCGACCACCCGGCAACGAATTATTGAACAAATAATTCCATAAATAGACGAGAGAAAGAGAAGTCTGTGGAAAATGATTAAACAATCAAAAAGAAAAAGTGCCTGCCAGTGGGCGGAGTGGAGGATGCAACCGTTGGATATGTATCTTCTCTCATTCTCTGTCCCGCTCTCTGCCATGAGTCATCCACACCTGTTCCTTAAAGCTCTTGTCCTGCAGTGACCCTTTACCTTTGACTCCTTTCAGGGCGGCGGCGGTGGCAACGATGCCGAAAAACAGCAGGCCCAGCAGGAGCAGATGCGTGCCCAGGAGGAGATGAAGCACTCGATCCTCTCCCAGGTGCTCGACCAGCAGGCACGTGCCCGCCGTAAGTACAGATTTCGGATCTCACCCATGCTTCAGAATGCTTCAAAATCTCGATTGCAGTCAACACACTGAAAGTGAGCAAGCCAGAAAAGGCCCAGATGTTCGAGAACATGGTCATCCGCATGGCCCAGATGGGGCAGGTGCGCGGCAAACTGGACGACGCTCAGTTCGTGAGCATCCTGGAGAGCATCAATGCCCAGATGCCGCAGAGCAAGTCCACAGTGAAGTACGACCGCCGCCGGGCGGCCATAGACAGCGACGATGATGAAGATTACGGCTGCTGATTGACCGCAGTTGCGGATCCAGATGCAGATGCTCCTCCTCGTAGGCCTAAGTCTCTTTCTCTTTGCTAAATACTTTTATTTCTTAATAACTTAAAACGAAAACAAGATGCACACGGAACACGTTTCTATATCTGCAAATGCAAATGCAAACACCTCTAAAGGCGGATGGGAGATCGATCTGTATGCTGTATCCTCCGCATCGCATCCTTCGAGATGAGATGGGAAAGAGTTCTCTAAACATAGGACTAGACTTTGGCTTAAGATGAAAGCAGTAGAAAAATTGCTCTAGATTGGGATTACTCCTTTTTCTCGTGATCCTCGTCCTGGTCCTCCTCGGTGACGAGGCAATCACCGCAGAATATGGAGTACATGATCAGCAAGAGGAAGCCCAGCGGCAGGCCAAAGATGACGGTCGTCAGCACGGGATTCCCCTTCCACATGTCCTTCAGCGAACGTTTCAGCTCGAACAGCGCCCGATTGCAGCGCACAAAGTAGGTGTCGCCGCCATACGCGATGGCGCTCTCGTTGCTGATGGACTCGAGGAAGAGGTGGAGGGCCTGCGGCGTCATCTGCATGGGATCGTCGTCGGGTATGAAGTGGTGCTGGGTGCTCGAATTGATCGCTATCAGATGCGGGGTCGGCAGCTGGTCCAGGATGATGGAATGGGCGATGGCGGGCTCGCCAATCTGCAAAAAAGGGAGCAACGAATGCTAGAGAGGGCCCCCTCCTTTCAACAGAAGGACCATGCTCACCCATCCAAACTGAAATTTGTTGTGATACCGCGGCCTGTGCTTCCGGATAACGCCTTCGACCATGTCGCGGAACTCCAGCTCGTGCGTGGCGATCTGGCTGAGTTTATCCTCCTGGACGACGGCCAGGACCAGGTATTTCTGGGTCTTCAGCAGCTGGTGGATGTTGAAGCGCGTGACCTTGGGGAAGAGGGTAAACCGCTCCACATTGACCCACTGGAAGATCGTTTCGTTCACCTCGTTGGGGTCCATCTCGTGGGCCACATGGCCGTGCGGATAGAAGTGGTGCTGCTCCTCCTTGTAGACGATAACCGCCGGCAGCTTCTCGAAGTCAAAGTGCTGGGCGGCAATGTCCTCGCTGGTGGCATAGAAGAAGCCGTGCTCCTGGTAGCCCTCCGCTGCCGCATAGTACGTGTCCCAGACGACGCCCTCCTGCTGGCCGACGAACATGAAGAAGATCGTGTGCGATCCCTTGAGCATATCCACGCTCTCTGTGCGCGTCACGAGCTGCACGGGCGGCCCGGACATGCGCAGGGCATAGTCCACGAGTTCGTCGCGACTCCGGTCGCCGTTGTAGGTGAACTCCATGTTGCCCTTGATGAACATTATCGTGGGATAGCCGCGCACCTTGAACTCGCGCGCAGATGCCGGATACCTGGTGCAATCGAGTTTCCCCACCCGCACATTGGTGGCATGCAGCGCCTGCGCCACCAGACCGAATATTGGCTCCGTCTTCTTGCAGTAGCCGCACCACGGGGCATAGAACATCACCAGCCACTGGCCCTCGTGACGGACATCGATGAACCGATCGCTCAGCTCCAGGACCCGCGAGGATAGGCCTGAGGCAGTCCTGAGCACTCCCAGCAGCAGTAGCAGGGCTTCACACAGAGAGAGTATCAATTAGGATTCGGTTTTCCATCTGAATTATTTATTTACCACCGAAGAGACGGCTCCACTTCCAGATTGCGTTGCCGACGAGCAGCATCCTTGTGTTCTTCGATTGCTTGGCTTCTGGTTCCAGGGTTTTTGTGTGTGTTTGTCCGTTTCCCCGGCTATTTCATACTCGCAACAGCTCACAGAAACAGTGCATATGCATGGGTGTTAATTAAATTAGTTAATTTTCAGCCGGAATTTTATTTTGCGAGCAGAAATAAGAAAAACAACCACCGCAGCTAAAGTGTGACCAGCCTGGGGGAGCATCAAAAATATTCCCCATGCCTGGGTGCGCAGTTTCCAGTATTTCTGGTATATTCCGAACGGGTGGCAGCACTCTCGCTGCCGGTGGTTTGTTTACCTCGCATATCCAGCGATCTGGCAACCCCTTAGAACACACGTGCGATTCGTTGGGGAAATCAAAATTGATATTTCTTTGTGTTTTTTTTGGTGTGTGCTAATTTCAACAGCAATTGTGCGTGGAAAACAATGACGGCAATACTGAACGAACCACCCCAGGGCGGTGGCAAGCAGCAGCTGCACAACGCACGCTTCTACACGATAAAACCGCGCGCCATCGTGGGAATGGCGTACAACAAGTTGTCCAAATGCCTCGCTTTGAGTCGGTAAATCACAGATAGAGCCTTTTCCCGTTGCCCACAATCACTGATCCACGTTTAATCCTAGAGAGACGGACTGCATTGAGCTGTGGAACATGGAATATGCCCCATATCTGGACAGGGTGATACATTTGCTGCCCGGCTCTCCCGTGGAGGCCTTGGCCTGGGCTGGCACCAAACGCCTCTTCTCCGCGGATCTCACGGGCAAACTGATCGAGTGGGATGTGCTGCGGCTCAGGCAGCGCTACGAGCAATCACCCACGGGCAATGCCCTCTGGAGCATGGACATCAATGGGCAGGAGACGGAGCTGGCCGTCGGCTCCGAAGAGGGACACATCAACATCATGAGCATCGAGAACGACGAGATCACCTACAAGAGCATCTTCAACAAGCAGAAGGGCCGCGTGCTCTGCTGCAAGTTCGACAAATCGGGAAAGCACCTGATCACCGGCTCCGAGGGCTACGTCCGCATCTGGAGCGTCCTCAAAGGCCACACGCTGCACACGATGACGCTATCCGCCAAGGACGTGATCGTCTGGTGCCTCCGGGTGCTGGCCGACAACACCATCGTGGCGGGCGACTCGGCGGGCTTTGTCACGGTGTGGAATGCCGAGAATGCCACGCAGATCGACAGGCAACGCGTCCTCGACAAGAACGTCTTCGCGCTGGCCCTCAACGAGGAGGAGGACCGACTGGTGTGCAGCGGCATGGAGCCGCCGCTGATCCGGGTCTTCAGCAAGACGAAGATCAGGCGCGAGGAGTCCGAGAGCGAGCGCTGGATAAAGTTCGTGCAGCGAGACGCGCACAAGCACTACGTCAAGTCGCTGGCAATGATTGATCCCCTGATTGTGTCCGGCGGCCTGGATGGCATCCTCACCATCACGTCCAGCGAGCGGAGCTCGTTGCCACAGCTGTCGCAGCACGCCCCCTTCCTGCAGGGCTCCGCGGCCTCGGTGGCCATCGATGCGAAGCTCCTGCTGCTCCGCTACCCCCACAGCCTGGACCTGTGGCGACTGGGCACCGTCGCGGCCCGCCAGGAGGAAGAGGACGAGGATGAGGAGCGCTGGGACCTGCCTGTGGGCCACACGGAGGATCTGGTGCTGGCGAAGCCGCCACAGAAGCTCCTGCAGCTGAATGTCCGTGAGAAGAGCTTCATCCAGGCCGCTGCACTGTCGCCAGACGCCGCCTGGATCTGCTACTCCACTCTGACGGATGTCCGGCTGAGCCGCTTGACGCAGGCTCCCCTGCAGGTGGAGCGACGCCCGGCAGAGGATCTGCCCCAAGAGCTGACCCCCGCGAGCCACATCCTCTTCACGAAGCAGCAACAACTCTTGCTCCTCGATCCCAAGGCCAATCGCGTCAACTTCTTCGACCTGGAGGAGGATCGCGTCCTGTTCCGCTCCAGCCTAGACCTCGGCGCCCACTTGAAAAGGAGCGTCAGCCACCTGGTGGTCTCCCCGGACGGCGAGTACCTGGTGGCGGCCTCCACCGACCACCTGATCGGCGTCTGGAGGCTGCAGCCCGCCGGCAAACACAAGCATTTGGTGAACCTGCCCCGTCATCGGGCCGGCACCACCGCCCTGGCCATGCACGAGGGTCGGCCCCGCCTGGTGGTGGCCTACGCCGACGGGCGGCTGGTGGAGTACGATCTGGTGAAGCGTGCCTTCACCTGCGAGACAGTGGAGTACCTGATTCCAGGCACCAAGCACTTCTGCATCCGCGGCATCATCCTGGATCCGAAGAACCCCAACATCTTCCTCGTCCACACGGAGGAGTATCTGTACGTGCTGGAGCGGAACAAGCGCCTCGCCACCGAGGATTATGTCGTCAACACAAAGTCCAAGAAGTACAGCCAGGAGAGCCGCAGCCTCATGGCAGCCAATCCGAATGGAATGCGCCTCAAGACACAGCTGCCGCGACAGGTACGTACCTGACGGCTCGTGCCGTCCCCGTACTCCCCCCGAAGGATTCCCCCATCCACTGACAATTGTTTTTCCTTCCTCTCTGGTTCTTGCAGCACCTGGTGCATGTCTTCCGTCTGAGTCCTAACGAACTCGTCAACGTCAGCATTTCGACAAGCAATCTGCTGGCATCGCTCCCACCGCCGTTCCAGCGAAAGAGGTTTGGAGCCTCCTAGAGGATGGACAGAGGGGCTCCGAGGAGGCCACTAGTTTCCACTTAGTTACCAAATAAAATCAAAAGAACACAAAACAATGCTTCCCGGCTGCCTTCGCCTTCGCATTCGCCTTCGCCTTCGCAGGGAAATTTGTCAAAAGTATTGCCAAAAATTTGTCTGTGTCTTTTGAGGTGTCGGCTCCTGCTCCGGCTCCTGCCTCCCCTTGGATAGTGGGGCCAGGGGTAGGGGCAGGGGCAGGAGCTGTGCAGGGGCTTTGTTCTCTACGTGGATTGTGCAACATTTCGTTTCGTTTCGTTTTGTGTCGCCGGCATTTACTGTAATTGTTGCTGCCGCCGCTGCCGCTGCTGCTGCTGCCACTGCCGTTGCCGTTGCTGTTATTTTTTGGTTGGTTTTACACTGTCTAGCCAGTGTCTAGACAAATGCATACCACACACACACAGACACGGGCACACAGACAGTCCACAGTCGCAAAAACACACACGCACACGGCGGCACGGTGGCACGGCCGAACAGAGCACAGACCGAGGCAGGGACAGCAGGGGGCCGCAGGGAATGTCGATGCACAATTCAACTTTTAGCTCAAAAACTCATTGCCTGGCCGCCTGGCCGCCTGGCCGACGTCTGCTGCTCCCCAGCTGCTGCTGCTGTGTGGGTGGGTGGGTGTGCGGCAGAGTGGGTGGCAGTATCCTGCAGGCAAATTCGAAAGGCTTTCAGGCCATGAAAACTATTCGATCGTCGTTGTCAACATCCATTCTGCCAGGGGAAAAGCAGAGACGAGAAGGAGATGGATAGATGGACAGATAGATAGATAGATAGATAGATAGATAGATAGATAGATAGATAGATAGGTAGATAGATAGATAGATGGATAGAAGAGACTAGATCTCTAGTCAAAATTTAGCCCTAGTTGAACCTTCGAATAGATCTCTGAAATCTGCTTTGATGATCCTCAAGCGAGGATATCCCTTCCCTTCCCTTCCCTTCCCTTCCCTTCCCTTCCCTCCCTTGCAATCCCTTGCAAACATCTCCCTTCATCGTCGAATCGTCAGCATTTTCACGCTCTCCGTAAGGGTATTCCCCGGCCCGACTTGCTCTCGAGAGTTTTCCGCATTTTCCTTCTTTATTTCTTGTTTTTTTTTTGTTTGTGCATTCCAATGTGCACTCTTCTCTTCTTTACTCTTTTTTTGGGTTTTTCCACTATTTTACATAACATTTTTGTTTTGTTTTTTTTGGGCAGAAAGAACCCCATGACCCCCTCCCGCTCCCCCTCCAAGCGCCGCCCGCCACCTCCACTCAAAGCCCACCTCAGCCGTAACCGAGTGACGGCATGACTGCGGTTGCAGCAACAGCCACAGCAGTAGAGGCGACACCAGAGCGAGTGGCAGGCGGCAAGTGGCAAGTGGCAAGCGAATAGACATGAATAATGAAAGAGCGAGAATCGGTTTTGGGACATTCATGGAATATAATGCATACGCAGCGTATGCCGTGCCCCTGCCTCTGCCCCTGCCCCTGCCCCACCGAGGGCTGGGTGTCCCTTGCTTTTGTTGGAATTAAAACTCACTTAGCCGTTGAAAGGCGCTCAAGAAAACAGAGGGGCAGACGGCAGAGGGCGGACGACGGAGGGCGGAAAACTTCTTGCAAACTACGCAACGAAAAGTCAGTCGCACGTCGCACGTTGCACGTCGCTAGTCCCCCAGCTGCAGCTGCAGCACGAGCCGGAGCTCAGAGAAGGAAGAACTTGGAGTCCGGAGTCCGGAGTCCGTAGTCCGTAGTCCGGAGTCCGAGAGTCGGAGGCAACTCCGAAAGAAGTCTAGACAGGCGGCAGGCAATGGGCGCAAAACTTTGGCCGGTGGCAAGAAATAAAAACGTTGCACAACCCCCCACCACAGTCCTGGGTGTAGCATAGTCCTGGGTTAAAGGGAACAATGCCTCGAAATTGACATTTAATTGGTTTGCAAATTAGCCAAGAAAATGTCTGCAAGAATGCGGGAAATGCGTCGCCCTCTGCGCCCAGGCGGGAGGACGGCCCCCGCACCTTGTCGGAGGTGCTAATCAACCCATGAAGGCTCCACCGTCTCCAGGATGGGCGGATTGCGGTCGCTAATGAATGGAATGGAAACTGAATGGAAAACGGGATAAAGCTTAATTTGCATTTAATAAAATTAACGCCACATCCTGCCACCCAATGGGGACAGAGTGGGGCGGAGTGGGGGGAAGGCATCAGCATAAATCGCATGCGGTTGTCATGGCAGTGCATCGAGCGGTTGGCAGGGGTGGCAGGGGTGGCACGGGGGCATGAGAGTACAACCAACTCAACGTCTAGACGGATGCAACAGCAACAGTGCCAGTGGCAGTGGCAGCCACAGAGTCCAGAGGACAATGTAAGGACAAACGTGTGTCCTGTCTGTCTTTCTGTCGGAGCAGGAGGCAGGAGGCAGAAGCAGGCAGCCTGCCCCGCCCCCCCCCCCCCCCCCCCCCCCCCCCCCCGTAACTTTTTGGCTCAACTCGAAACTTGATTGAATTTAATGCCCCACAACAAAAGCAACAACAGCAGCAGGAGCAGCAGGAGCAGCAGGAGAAAGGAGCAGCAGGAGAAAGGAGAAGGAGGCATCAACGAAGGAAAGCCAAAAGCCAGGCACTTAATTGGTCGAAAGGAAAAACTCTTGGCTCCTCGAAGGCAACGGAGAAACGGGGCGAAGCGGGGAGAAACAATATCAAATGAAAGTGCAGCTGTGCAGGTAATGACTCCCGGCGAAAGGTCAAAGGATAAGCGACGGCGGCAGGGACCCCAGGGATGACCACTTGAGAGTGGCTTCAAGGCTTAAGGATTCATCTGGAATACAGTTTATGGGCAGATGCCCTCTCCCCCATCGACACCCAAGCAAAAACCAGAAGCGTTCGTTCGTTCGTTCATTGTATCCTGTGTGTCCTTCGCGGAGGACAAATGCTCCATAAATAGGGATTCAGGGAGAGCATAGAGCGACGCGGTATGGCGGGGGGGGGTCGAAGGGGGAAGTGGATGTGTCTCCAATTTGATATGCTCGACGATGCTCTTCCTGGCTGCCGTCGCCCGTCCCCCCTGCTCCTGCAGGACTCCAGGACTCCATCCCCCGAATCACTGGAATCCCCTACTCCAGAAGGAGGAGTCAACTTGTCAGCCAACAACAGAATTTACGAGCATTTCCCAGTGTTTCCTTGCCCCTGCTTCGATTCGTGTTGCATGCTTTTTGGGGCGCCACAATGCAGCAGAGCGAGTGGCACACGGAGGAGAGAAGAGAGAGCAGTTCTGCGATGAAGATTTCTCGCTTAAAGAAATCGGTATTTATGGATCGTTTGGCACCCATCGAGCCACCTTGGCTGCTCCTTTTTGCTCCTCCGCTAACTGTTAACTGTAACTGTTATCTGTGCCCCCTCCCCCTCCCCTTGTGGCACACAGCCCCCCCTCTCTGTGATCGTTCGCTGTGATTCCCCCTCGTTAAATGTTAATTGGCAGCTGGACTGCTGCCTGGCTTTTGTCTACTGTTGGGCTCTCCCTCGCTCTCCCTCGCTCTCTCTCGCTCTTTCTGGTGCTGCCTTGATTTATGCATAATGCGACCATCGTCATAATGGCTCATGGCTCATGGCTCATGTCTGATGATGATGTTAGTCGACTTTTTGCTGCTGCTGTGGTCTGCAGAACTCCTAATGAGCGCCCAAACGAGCCACAGAATGTGGCAGAGCAGCGGGTCTCGACTAGGGGATGCCCTGGAAAAAGCAATACCCAAAGAGGGGCATACAGATACATCTGTATCTGTATCTGCCATGGATATCCCTGATATTTCAGCCAAGATCAGGTACTCCTGGGGGGGGGGCAGCAAAGTGCCCCCTGCCTCTGGCTGCCCCTTGCTGTACGCTTCGCAAGCTGCAGCCACAATTTAATTAAGCCAACAGAAACGTAACCGTGCCACAGGAAGAGGCGATACGGGAGACGGGTGGGGGGGGGGGGCTTGTGGCATGGACGACATTAGCATTGGATTGGCAACATTGTTGTTGATGTCCATGCGGCCATGTGTTTACTCTCTGGCTCTCTGCCGGTCTACCCCCCGCTCGCTCCCTCCCGCTCGCCCTCTCCTGCTCTGTGGAAGAGTGTCTGTGTCCAGAGAAGTCCAGAAGAGCTCTCGAGCGCTTTAATAGACACGTTCTCATGTGGCTGCCACAATTTCCTGCCCCAACGAAGGAGGCGGCGCCTCCCCCTCCTCCCTCAAACAGAAAATGTGGAAAATGACTTGTGTCTCCTCCACTCCTCCTCCCCGCGCCTGTTGTTGCTTTCTTTTGTAGTTCTGGGCTGCCCACTTGTTGTCGTTCCCCCCCCCCCCCCCCCCCCCCCCCCCCTCTGCTGCTGTTGTTGTAATAATTTGATTAAATTGAACGCTTTAAGTGATTTGCATTTTAAATTTCAATCAATATGACGTGACTGCTGCAGAGGCTGCTGCATGCAACCAACCAGCCAGCCAGCCAACGGATGCAACTGCCACAGCGCGGGGCACAAGAGAGGGGGGGGGCATAGAGGAAGCCTCTGTCTGGTCAACTGGCGCCAGGCATCGGCTCTAATGATGTACAACCTCCTCCTGTGGCCAGTGGCCAGTGGCAGTGTTTGATTTCGGGCGGAAGAGCCATTTAGTGGTGGGGATTGTGTGTGTGCTGGGGGAGGGGGGGTGTGTGTTGGGAGCAGTGCCAAAGTCAGGGTCAGATTTGGGCCAGACATTGGAGGCATGCAACAGACACACCTTAAGGCTGAAGCTCTGCCCTCACGAGGATTCTTCGTGGCTTTCATTTTGTGCGAAAATATGAAATTAATTCTCAATCTTCTGCATCAATTGGAGCAGCAGGAGCCGCAGGAGCAGCAGCAGGAGAGCCACCACCCCCTCCCCCCTCTATTCCCACATTACGTATACGCACCGATGCACAGTGTCTTGAGAAATTGGTTTGGAATGGCATTCAATTATAATTGCCAGAGCTGCTAGGAAATATGCCACACATGCCACACCTGCCACACATGCCGGCAACAATGGCAGCAGCAACAAATTACTGCCAATGTGCACTGATCCAGGGATCCTTCTGCTCCGTTTCTGCTCCGCTTCTGCTCCGTTTCTGGTCCTTTAGTTTCGGTCGCGCGCTGATTGCATTCTCCTGCAGGCGAGAGTGTGGCTGCCGCCGCTGCTGTGCCACAAGCTGCAGTTCTTTATTGTAATTATGTATTATTGTTGTTGCTGGATGTTGGATGTTGGAGCCTCCATCGCCATCGCCATCTCCATCGCCATCTCCATCATCATCAGCATCAACTTTTGCTTAGTTTTCTCCTCTGGTGTTTTATTTTTTGTGTCCCCGCATTGTTCTTGGCCATCCAGCGCCGGCGTCGTCCTCGTCTGCCTCCGTGCTTCTTCCTGCCACTGCCACTGCCACTGCCACTGTTACTGCCACGTCTTGCAGTGGCAACTTCCTGATTTTCCCACAGCCACACTCCTTCCCCGCTCCACACTCTCCCTGCTCCATGCTCCATGCTCCATGCTCCTTGTGTGGCATTATATTTGCCGAAATGCAAAGTCTAAGGACTTTCGTCTGAGTGGATTTTTCTGCCTGCCTGGAAGCTGCAGCTCCTCCTCCCCCCCTCCATCGCTTCCCTCCACCCCACCACGTTTTTGTGTTGTTTTCTAATTCATGCAATTTTCACATTGCAAAATTTTGTGTTTTTTTGGGCAGGCGCTACTTTTGTGTGGCAAGATTCCGCTGCCTGCCACAGCCACAGCCTCATTGTTTTTCGAGATTCGTGGGGCAGAGGATCGGTTGAGGGTGAGTCAGTCGTCAGTCGTCAGTCGGGGGGTCTCAAAATAGCCCCCTAGAAGAGCCCCACACTCCCTCCCAGTGGCGACCCCAGACACGACCATAAAGAAGAGACCTTCCTCCTGCCAGCCTGCCTCTCTCTCTCTCTCTACCGCTCTACCGCTCTCTGTCTCTGTCTACCCTTTCCTCCACTTAGGGATCCCACTCTTTTGATTGTCTTTCAGCCTGTCTCGATCCATTGGAGCATAGATACATAGAGATAGATCACCATAGATTCCTTAAGGATCCCTCCAGATTCGAGAAGATATTGGAACGATTTTTGGAAACCTGGCCACAATCATTTTCAATCAAATATCTTTGCTTTTTATACCCGATACTCAAAATGAGTATTGGGGTATATTAGATTTGTGGTGAAAATGATCAGCATCAATAGCCGAGTCGATTGAGCCATGTCTGTCTGTCCGTCTGTCCCTCTGTCCGTCCGTCCGTTTGTCCGTCTGTCCGTCCCCTTCAGCGCCTAGTGCTCAAAGACTATAAGAGCTAGAGCAACGATGTTTTGGATCCAGACTTCTGTGATATGTCACTCCTACAAAAATATTTCAAAACTTTGCCCCGCCCACTTCCGCCCCCACAAAGGGCGAAAATCTGTGGCATCCACAATTTCGACGATACGAGAAAACTAAAAACGCAGAATCGTAGAAGATGACTATATTTTACAGAGTGCAAAATCTGAACCAGATCGTATAATTATTACAGCCAGAATCACGAAAACAATTTCACTCTTTCTCGCTCTGTCTCACTCTAACACACAGGTTTCATGGTCGGTTTTGCCAATTGCAAAATATGAGTTCAAGGATCTCAGAACCCATAAGAGCTAGAGCAACCAAATTTGGTATCCACACTGCTGTGATATCGGACCTTGACCGTTTCCTGTCCAAATTTCGCCACACCCCCTTCCGCCCCCGCAAAGGACGAAAATCTGGGGCATTGGCATTGGCATTGGCTACGCAGCGCCCGACGTCACGCTCAGACTGATTTTCTGTCTCTCTCGCACGCACTCTTTGTGGTGTCGCTTAATATTAGCGGCGTCTGCCGGAGGAGAGCCATACTGACTTAGTATCGGGTATAACTGTAGAGTTGCGGTGTCCGCAGCAACTCACAACGTTCCCCCTCGTTTTAATATAATTTAATGTATATAAAATTATTTCATATAGAAAGATCCCAAGGGACACATACCCTTAGATCCACCGACGACCTTCCAGCAGGAAAATCTGAAATTTAGATACAAAATAATGACATTTATTTGTGTTGTATTTCAATAAGTAATAAATAATTAAACAATTTCTTTGTCGATAGACACTCGTTTATGGGCCTGTCCCAAAAAAGACAGAAACCGAACATTTTCCCTAGGTTTTTTGTTGCGATTCGAGAGCATTTTGTTAGCTCTCTAAATATGGGGGGTTCCTCGAGTTTTAGCTCGGCGTCGACTTTGGCTAAATCTTTGGTAAAACGCAAAAATCCTGCGAAACGGAAGAGAATATTTCAAAGGGATTTACTAGTTCTAAAAGAGCATCCATGTCGGTCATAGAGATCTCTATTGGCTTTCTTTTTAAACTGCATTAACTACCGATCGTACCATATGCTTTTTTATATATAATCACCTCACATTTTCCCATAAATCACTTCATATCTGCTTAACAAACAATTTGGTGGGCTTTTTAGAAAGACTTTGAGGAAAAACTTTGATTGAGAATCATCTTTCTTATAGGGGAAAATCTTGAAGGAAAACAAACAAGAAATTCGATAAAAAAAAAACGCAGTCTTTTGCTTATTTTAAAAGTTGCCAATTGGTTAATAATATCCGGACAAAAGTATACTATAGAAATCGGTGTGTATTAGCTTTTAAGTCTCGGCTCTAGGTCTCGGCTGTCCCGGACCTTTCCAATGGGGAGTGAAAAATTTCGCCTGGGCAGATTTGGGTACAGTTTCGTTATATTTTTCCGTATTTGCCAGGACTTCTTTTTACGAATGAAATTGTTGGAAAAACCCAAACCGTGTTTGCTAAACAATTTTAGTTTATTCTTAAAAAAAGATCTCAAAGTCGGAGATCAGTTCCAAGCTAGTGATATTATTCTTAATCGAATATTCGGCTAGTACAACGAACATATAAATATACTATATTTACATTATATATGTATATTATTATATATTCAAAACAAACAAAAGTCCCGCCTGAAAATTCCATTAATCTCGAAACATAGAAGAGTATTTCCCATTCGACTTTGCCAAGCTCTAAAAATATTCATATTTTCGTGGTGCCTCTCTCCCGCTCTCGCGCTTTCCTTTCTTTTCCTCTGCTGCCCCTCCCCCAACCCCCCTGCCCCCCCTGCCATCGCTTGATTCTGCAACAATTCTGCAACATTCTTATTCTCTATTTGAATATCGTACAAATTATGCTGCCACTGCCGCCGCTGCCGCTGTTGTTGTTCCCTCTTTTGGTGATATTTTTGGACTAAACGTTGTTGTTGTGCTCCCTCTCTCTCTTTCTCTCTCGCTTTCTCTCTCGCTTTCTCTCAGTGATAGCAAAATAATGAGCGTAGACGGCGGGACGGCCAGCGGACGGATGGCGAGACGGAGAGACACGCGGCAGAAAGCCCTCGAAGATCCTCCTTTTGGCCCTGGCCCTTTGCCGTGTGGAGAGTATGGAGTGGAGACCTGGCTGTGGATCGGGCAAAAAGGAGCGTGTAGGGCGGGGCGGGGCGCGGCGGGGGGCATGCAGCACGCTTCACGCTCGATTTTCATGCGGCCGTTGTTGTTTTCGCCGTGCCACAGAGCCGCCCCCTCCCCCCGATGGCCGGATACCCTTTGCGGACAGGACGATTCCCACGATCTACGATCCGATGCGAAGCGCTCCACAAAATCGCGATACCCTGCCCGCCAAGAAGGGCATCCCGAAAAACAGATGAAGAAAATGCTTTTCAATTTATTTTTAAGTACAAAAATAATTTCGGTTTTTTTTTTTTTTTTTGTTCGTTGCTTGCAAAAATCTTGAGAACAACAACAAAATGAGCGGTGAAAATAAAAGGCAGGGCACGGTGCGGCGCGGCAACGCGACACACGCCTGTCGCCGCGTCGGAGTCCCCCTCAGGCCCCCGCCCCCCCCTCCTGTAGCCGATGCCTTGCTCGCCAGACTGTTCCTCTCTCTCTCCCATTGGACATAGGGGCGGCATAGAATAGGGATCCGTTCTCTATACATATAGACGCCTCAGTCGGCCGAGTGTGCGGCAAAATGTGTGAAATATTGGAGACAAACGGGCATGGGGCATGGCATGGCACGGCGTGGCGTGGCATGGGATGGGATGGGATGGGATGGCATGGCATGGCATGGCAGTTTTTATGTTAGGCAGACGATCCGATCCGATCCCATGACAAAAAATCCATTTAGTTCAGTTCAGCGCAGGTCTGCGGCTAGATCGGAGGACGGTAACGGTAACGGAACGGGCATTATCTATCTTGGAATATTTGATTCCTCCTCAAAGAACGAACGAGCGAGCGAGCGACAGAGAGAGAGAGAGAGAGAGAGAGAGAGATAACCGGTTGAATGTCGTGTGACCAGCTCTCTCTCGACAGTTGATACTTTTTTTTCCAGTTCTCCTTTTTTGTGTGGGAGTTTGTCTCTAGTGTGGCCCAACAGACGACAGAGGGCGCTAGCCTGGCCGGTAACGGTACACAAGAAGCAGCAGAAGACGAGAGCGAGAGAGAGAGAGAGAGAGAGCGTGAGCGAGAGAGCGAGAGAGAGTGAAAATACTTGCGTGTCATGTGTGAAATTCCAATTTCTGATTTGTGTATCGAGCGATAAGCAGCGTATCAATCGATAGTCGTGCGTGAGTGAGTGATAGAAAGAGAGAGAGAGAGCGGGAGAGCGGGAGAGCGAGAGAGCGGCACAACGGAGTATTTCAGCAGGAGGAGGAGGAGGCTTCTCCAACGATCGAGCGTACCGGAATTCCTACAATTTACGTTTTCTCAATGTCAAATCGAGCGTTCGAGCGTTTTCTGGTATGTATCGTCTCGCACACAGCCACAGACACGACCACCGATCCGATATATAGATAGCGGATATATACTCCGATCCGTTCCGATCCGATCCGATCCGATCTGATCTGATCTTATCTGCCAAATGCCAATGTTCGCTTTTTGCTCCCTTTTTGCGCGTTTATCGATAACAGCCGGTCCGATCGGAATTCCTGGGCTTACACCCCGCGCCACCCAACGCTAACCCTCCCCCCTGTTACCTTCCCCACCACAACACCACAACCCCTCCTTTGCGGCATAGATGGTTGTTTTTTTTTGTTTTTTTGTTGTTCGAAACCAAAATAAATGAGGAATTTAGCGTTTTCTTTAAAAATAAACTGGAATGTGTTCGAATTAGATGAGAAATTCGCATGTTCTCGGGTCTCTCTTCTCTCTCTTGTCTTTGTTTTTGTTTTTGTTTGCGTTCGTTTTAGGGGAAATTTGATGGCTCCAATGGAACAGAGATGGGGGGGGGGGGGGCTTAGAGAAGCGGGTGGAAAATATCATTTATCTCCGAACAGGATTAAGAATTGAATGCCATTTTCTTCAAGGCCCCCCCGCCCCCTATAAACTTTGGCCACAAAATCGGGGCATAAAAACATTCAACAAAAAATGATCTTGACTCACATTTTTGTTGTTGCAGAAGCAAGAAACTCTTAAGAGCCCTCTGCCCTCTGGAGAAACGGGGGAGCACTTGTCAGCACTTTAAGGCCGCATTTCTGGGCCTCTTCTTTTCTTTTTATTGCTCTTTTTTGTGGGCTTTATTTTGCATTTTTTTTTTATTAATTATAACTGGAAGAATCGGGGATTGTGGGGTTCTTTTTTTTATGGCAAACATAAATTTCGACTTAAGGTCTCTCGGGGAGGGTCTGAAGGGGGAGGGGAGTGGAGTGGAGGGCAATCAAAGAAACAACAAAAGAAACGGAAAGAGGGAGAGCGAGAGGGAGAGCGAGAGGGAGAGGGAGAGACGGGAACAGTAGCCGTCGGAGTAGAGTCGAGAGGAGTGTGTTTTTTTTCAGTCTGTCCAAGGTATATTCGATGGAAGGTAAGGCAGCTTTCCCGCTTCACTTATGCTTTGCTCTCTTTCACTCTTTGGGTCACCCTTTGACCCAAGTCTGAGCCAGTCTCTGGCTTAGGCTGTGGCTTTCCTTCTATGGAATATACCCTGCGGCTGCTGTCCGTCCGTCTTCCGTCTTCTGTCTTCTGTCTCTGTCTGTCTGGTGCTTCTGTCTCTGTCTGTTTGGAGGGAAAGAGAGACGCAAAAGCAAAAGGCCGTTAATGATTATGAGCGTCTGTCTCCTGAAGGAGAGATCATCATCAGGAGGAAGGAGGTGGAGCAGCAGAGGATGATGATCATCAGACACTTGAAAGGAATTTCAATAAAGAGATAGAGAGAGAGAGAGGAAGAGGGAGGGAGGGAGAGCGAAGAGCGAAGAGGCAAAACAACAACAGAAATCATCAGACAGCGATGATGATGAGAATGGGATTGTGGGGATGATGCATCCTACCGCTCCCCTTTCGGCCCCTGCCCGCCGTTCGGATGAATGCATTAACAGGGATCCATCTTGTTGTTGTCTGTGGCATCAATCTGTCTCTGACACATTGGGGTGCAACATTGTGTGGCAGTTTTATCAGAAGGAAGCAGCAGCACAGCCAGACACCACAGCAGACTATGAAACGATCTCCTCATCAACAACAACAACAAAAACAACAAAAACAGCAGAATGCCGCATATTAAATGAACCAGACAGAGGGGGAGAGGCACGGAGGCAGGGGGGGGGGGGGGGGGGGTCCTGTCCTGAATTGCAGATAATGTCTCCATGCCCCCATCCCCCTCTCCCCCCTGGAAGGGGACCCGGGACTGCTCTGCCTCTCTCTCTCTCTCTTGGGCGCTACCTTTTACCTATCCCCCCCCCCCTCCCGCCGCCTGCTTTAAGTGCAGTGCACCTGCCCCACCCCCTCCCCCTTTATCGTATCTGCTTTAAAATTAGATGCCTGCCCCGCTGTGGTCTTGCCCCTGCCTCAGATGATAATAAAAATGAAGTCGAAAAAGAAGTGCAACATAAATTTGTGCAAAATATAACGCATACGCAACGTGCAACGTGCAACATGCAACAAGCACACACACACACACACCCATTGTTGTGTGCCTTCTTCTTTGGGGTTATTTATGCCCCACGAGGCGCGATGACTCTCCCTCCTTCTCTCCCTCTCTCTCTCTTTCTATTTCATGACTCACTCACGCACTCGCGAGGTATATTTTCGTCTATTGGGGGACGGGGGGTGGGGAGGCCATGTAAGGACGGAAGAATCTTTGCAACAAGGACAGACGACGAAAACAAAGAAAGAAAAACAGAAACAACAGCAGGAAAAGTGGGCGACCACACAGCAGACAGCACAAAAAAAAGAGAAAAGCGAACACTGAGAGAAATTCCTCAAGGAACAAGGAACAAACAATTAGCGGATGGGAAATGGAAACTTTTTTGACTGTAAATTGAAGGCGTATTTGCTGCAATTTCTTTCATCGTTCTCCTCTCTTTCGTTGCAGCTGTAACCTGGTGGCGGGGCCCGGCGATAAATCGATTGGTTGTGCGCGTGTTATCGATGACAAAATGGTAGTCGGCGACAGGATTGCGGCCAAGGACGAGGGGGCGTAAACAATCCGATCGCAACCGCCGGACGACGCTGTGGCCCCCACGCATGCAGCCAGTGGCGCCGCGGGGGCCCGCTGCACATTGTGGTGCACATCGGTGGTGCGGTGGTGCACTGTGGTTTGCCTGCTATCCACACTAACGCTTCTCCAGCCGGCAGCAGCTCCAGCCCCAGCCCAAGCCCTCGCGGTGCCAATGCAGCAGAGGCGGCACGGCCACGTGCAGCACCAGCAGCAGCACCAGCAGCAGCACCAGAGTGTTGCATACTTGTGGGCGTCCAGAGTGCAACAGCAACAAGCCCAGCAGGGAAAGGGGCAGCACCAGCAGCAGCAGCAGCGGAAGCAGGAAAGCGGCAACAAGTGTCTGACATGCCCCCATTCGATACGGCATTCGATATTGAATCCGTTTCCGTATCCGTTTCCGTCTCCGTATCCACCAGAACCGAGTGCTGGAAGAGGCGCCGCCGAAAGCGAAGAAGTGCCACAGCAGCAGCAGCAGAAGCAGAAGCAGAAGCAAAAGAAGAGGCACACGAGTGTTGTAAATAGTAGTGCTGTTGAGGTTTTTTTCAGTGTAAATAGTGCAAATAATAATACGCGTAAGTTAAATTTAATTCTGGGCAAACTCTTGCCCCAAAACAACAAGAAGGAGGAGCGCCGGAACGAGAGGGAGGTGCAGGAGGAGGAGCAGCAGGAGGAGCAGCAGGAGGAGCAGCATCTTGTTGTTGGCACAAATTTGCAAAATAAATTACCAGCATCGAGTGCGGATTGCCACTTAAGTCCCCATACGCGTACGCGTACGCGTACTCGCAGTCGTAGTCGTTGTCGTTGTCGTGCCCCTTGCGTGCCTGCCCCCCCTGGTGGCACAGCCACAGTCCATTCTCCTCCCTTGGCCTGTTCCTGGCCTCATCATCATCTGCATCTGCATCTGCATCTGCATCATCGTTGCTGTCGTTGCTGTCGTTGTTGTCGTTGTCGTCGTTGTCGTCGCGACGCGTCGCACTCGACTGGCGGTGGTGTCGCCTCCGCGTCTGCGTCCCGCGTATCGCCCGCGTCGTCTATGCTCTTGCCATATCAAATTAATCAACGTGCTACATTGTTGCAGCAGCAGCAGCAGCAGCAGCAGGCAGCATCATCAACAACAACATTGCCATCACATGTGCCCGTGCCCGGGCCCGGGGCAGCAACAACTCCTCGGCAGCCTCGTATTTTTAAACGTGATACAATCCAAACAGCGACCACTGCATCACCTTTGACACCGCAGCAGCAACTGCAACGCCTGCTTGCAACGGCAGCCTCCACAACAACCGCTGCCACACCTCGGCTCGAGTTCATACTTTACACAGAAGTCTATGAAGAGGACTCGATCGCCGTTGCCCCAAGCGATTCCGAATCCAAATCAAAGTCGAAAACTCTCGCGGAGGAGCAGGCGGAGGAGCTGCCGCTGGATAGCGATACCTTTTGGCAGAAATACGGTGAGTAGGTAATCTATATGTTGCTACAAATACAATACAAATCTGCTCGATAGAGAGGAATCTCCCTCTCTGAGGAGGAGTCTCCACTTTTCCACACAGTTTCAAAGAGATTCCTTTCCTAAGACTACAGTCGAGATGGTTGGGGTAAACCCTCAGAAAGGGGAGCTGAATGCTGCCTGAAAGATATCTTTACAGCAGTTCTGTGGAATGATATATGAGATCCTCTAAAAGCTCCCTTACCAAGAATTATAGACCGGGAAATATCAAAGCATTCCAGCAATAGATAGGACTGTAATAAATAGTAAACAGATCTATGGGGTAAACAGAAATGTATCTCTGCTAAAGGTGTACAAATTACACAAAAATGTCTCTGTAGATACATGTTTATCACGTTTCACTTCAGGCGCCTGTAAAATCTTTAAACATGCATAAATCCTTGTGATTTTTTTGTTCAAAGATTCTTTAATTTAGTGAGAATGAAAAAAGACAATAATTTCAATTCAAAGAGATCCTTTTCCTTAAGAGATTTCAACTTTTCCAACTTTTGCACGTTTCAAAATTTTTGTACTTTAATAATTTTTTTAAAATTTTTTTCCCAAAGGCAAGGGCCGAATAAGTATTGGCATACTCTCGACTAAATTTAGTAGGTGCTTGGAAGGTATCAGGCGCCACTCCGACCTCACGCGCTCCCAAAGACTCACCCAATCCCTTTGCTGCAGACTCGTACTTATCCGATGTTTTTTATCCAGAGCCCATCGATTTTCAATGGGATTCAGATCTGGGCCACTGGATTGAGTGAAAACTCGAATTATTGGGTCGATTTTTCTTCAACTGGTCGTAAAAAATGCTCGGGAAGCACTGTAGATCCGATTCGATTCGAAGTACATAGTTTATTCCGTGATATGTGATATATTTACTGGCTAGAAACTCCACAAATTTAACGAGAGATATTCCCCACAATGGTGGCCCTATGGCAGATCTGCCGCATATAAATATCACCCAAAAATCCACCGAATATCGTTCCACCTGTCAGAGACATAAAAAAAACATTCAAAAAGCAAAGGAAAACCTTTGGCCAACATAACATTTTTCACAATTTCATGCAACGATTGTAGCCACACAAGAGACGGAGAGAAAGGAGAGAGATAGAGAGAGAGACAGCAATTGTATTGCAATGTTCTGCAGCAGCAGCCAGAGGAGGAGGCGGAGGAGGAGGAGGAGGCGGAGGAGGAGGAGGAGAAGGAGGCGGAGGAGGAGGAGGAGCATCATATCTGAACATTTGAATGCCTTATGCGACGATATGGCAGTGCTGTGGAGAGGCAGGGAATGGAGGAATGGGCATAGGGGGGGAATCAGGACAGAGGGGGGAGGCTGGAGGATGGCTTATGGATATGATATGATGTGGGGACTTTTAACACAGCTGCTGGCTGGTTAACATAATTTTCGTGGGCATCTCTCACCCTCTCCCTCTCTCTCTCTCTCTCTCCCATTCTTTTTATTATTTATTTTCTTTTCGGTGCTTTGCTTTTTTGCAATTCAACGCAAAAATAAGAATAAAGCGAACAACGATGGTAAAAACAACAGACAGACGGAGAGACCGAGAGGAAGGGAGAGAGAAGGAGCAGAATAGACCTGAAAAATACCCTAGAAAGAGATTTCGGGAGGAAGAGAATGAAAGCGAGAGCTTCCCCGAGCACCTCCTTCCTTTCAGGATGGATTCATGGATCGATTTCGTCACGTTCTAGGAGTTCGAGCATACCCTGCCATTCTATTTGATACCCTCCGATGGAAATAACAAAAAACAAAAGCACAAAAACAACAAAAAACACAGAAATCAACTTTTTCCAACGAATAAATTTCGAGTTTTCGATAGTCTCGGTCTGCCACAGACAGTGGTCGTCGGTCGTCTGTCCGTCTGTCCGTCCGTCCGTCTGTCCGCCCGTCTGTCAGTCCGTCTGTCGTCTGTCGACGTTGTCGTTGTAGTCGTCCAGACAGCACCACAAGATCTGGCCACCAAACCAACGGACAGGGGAGGCAGAGGAGGGGCGGGGAGGGGAGGGGAGGGGGGTGTCGCCTGGGATGGGAACTGGGGCCCCATATTCGTGGGCTCCAACAGCGTCAGACTGTCTGGTATGCCAACAGGCAGCAGCGAGGCAGCAGCGAGGCAGCCAGCGCTGGCTCTCTCTTTGCCACAGTGCAGCGCTGCCTCTTGCGGTTGCCGTTGCCGTTGCCGTTGCCGTGCCACATGTGGCGCTGTCCGTCCGTCCCTCCACTCCACTCCACTCCAATGATAGTTGTAGCTGTAGTTTCGGTGTCAGCTGTCTGCTGTTTCCACCTCTACTGCCTCTGCTGCCTCCGCTGGCATTACTACTGCTGTATCGAGACTCTTCGTTGTGTGTAGGCGTCATCATCATCGTCATCGTCATCGTCATCATCGTCATCGTGGCATGGCATGGCGCTCGCATTGGCCAATGCATAAAATTATACAGAGACATGACATGGTTTTGAATAATTAAACACAACTACGGGGCACAACAGACAGCGGGGCAACAACGGGGCAACAACAGTGCAAAGGGGGGCAAAGGGGGGGGGCATCAAGTCGGACTAAATGGCTGCCAAAATCCAGTGGATATTCCGTATACCACAAGCCACCGAAGGGTGGCACACAGGAGAGACCACGAGAGGCAGGCAGGCAGGCATGATGCACAGTCCTGAAGATACTACCTATGTGTGTGTGCGTGTGTGTGTGTGTGTGTGTGTCCTCCCTCTGTGCCTTCTATGCCCCCTCATATCTCCACGTTCCGCCTTGGTTTTAACTCATTTAGCAGCTTAATTTCTGTAAACGGATTACAATTGAGTCCCCAAGGGGCCCGGGGGGGGGGGACGGAGGGGGGGGCAGACTCCTTTGGAGACTTGGCTAATAGAGGCAGAAGACAGAAGGTACAAATTTGGCAAACAATGTTTCTAATTATTCAAATCATAGTTTTAAGGAACTGGAAAATCTTTCCACTCATTCCAAAGGCCCGAAAGCAGAGGACCCCAAGGATCCACGAACTAAAGGTGGGTGGGCGGGGGATACAAGATTTAGTTTAGAACTCCCCGAGAGTCGAGGGCTGCTATGATTCTGCATCCCAAATATTTGGGAGTCTCCTGCCTTTCTTCTTGCTTCCTGGAAAGTAGGGGCACACTTTCCGACAATTGTTCTATATTTTAGGAGCTATATTTCCTCCGACTTTCATTAAAAAACAAAAGTTCAATAGACTCTTTCGACACACAGCTGCAGCGGAAGGACCACGACCGAAGGAAAGAAAGGGATCTCAGATCTCAGACATATGACAAATAGAAATAAAATAATCAAAAGAAGAATGCAACAAAAGAGGAAGGGGCCAAAGGGCAAAGGGGGGGGGCACAGATGAGAGAAGCGAAGCGGAGACGACAGACAACCCATTGACAGCACAGCCCAGAGATATTATTGACAGCTGAGAGAGGGAGAGGGAGAGAGAGGGAGAGAGGGAGATATCGGACATTGGACATCGGACATCTTCCTCCGATGTTTGCCCAATATCTTTCCAGTCAGTCCTTTCCTTTCCTTGCCTTTCCATGCCGCCAGTCGATGGGTGCCGTGCCCCATTGTTGCACTGCTGCTGCTGCTGCTGCACTGTTGCGTTGCAATTGTTGCTGTTGTCAGCAGCGGCGGCGGTGGCGGCGACGGCGGCGGCGGCGGCTCGTTTCATTCAGTCGTTGTTTGAGCTGTCAAAGGGGTCTGGTCTGGCGTTTCCTGTTGTTTCCTTTTCTTTTTTTTCGTTTTTCGTCTTTTTTTTTTTTCTTTGCACCGTCTGCGATGTCTAGACACAAGTCAAAGTCGAAGTCGGAGTCGCTTCGAACCCTAAAGCTCAGGTGCATTCTCTTCGACACAACAAAAAGGAGGCACAGGGGCAGAGTCGGAGGCAGACATCAGGCGACCTGGAAATTCTCCATGGTTTCTCCCTCACCCTTCTCTCTCTCTCTCTCTCTCTCTGCGTGTGAGAAACATTTGCCAGAGTACCAGAGACCCAGAACCAGAACCAGAACCAGAACCAGACCCAAAGACCAGACATATCCAAATCGACATCGACATTCGCATCAACGACAACCGACAACCGACAACCGACAACGAGCGACGAGCGACGACGATGTTGTCTGTTTGTCGTCTGGAAAGTTATGGACAAAAGTTGTATCTGTCGCGGGTTGCAATACCCTTTCCTTCCGATGGATCCACCAAGGCTCGACCCCTGTATGGGGTCCTTCTATAGCCAGCATTGTGCTTAGTCATGCACACGACATGCATATTGTTTGTGGGTTCTCTGGCATTCTCTTTGGCCAGGCCGCGAGCATTTTCTTCTTTTTATAACTTTATATTTCCATGAACTGTGCTCCCTTCTACAGTACTCCACATTTTAAACCGAATTGGTTGATCAAATCCTTGATGGAAGGATAGAACCACCTGGTATCCACATACGTTCCACATTTAGCCTTCAGAATCAGTTCTTTTAGAGTATTCAAGGCTCGTTCTTGTCCGTTTTTCTGGAGGGGATACGGGTGTACGGGCGTACGGGGGCACGGGGGCACGGAGGTACGGACTCTCGACTGACGACTGACAGACAGCCTTAGATCAGAGTGCAGTTGATTTATGGCGGCGTTGAGTGGCTTTACGCTCACCTCAAATATGACACAAGGCGGCGGGGACCCTACGAAAAAAAAAAGTGCTTATACGAGTCTGGTACTCGTATACGATATATATACAATCTATACACACGCACATGTGTCCGCGTGTCCAGGCCAGCCAACGGAAGTTGTCCTTTTTTGCACCCTTCTGGATCGGACGATGTAGCAAACATGCCCCTTGTTCCAGGGCTCTCTGCGCCGCGCTGCCCTGCCCTGCCCCTCCTTTCATTCACGCAACAAGCAAATTGTGGCAATTATCGTCTCTGTCTCTGTCTCTGGCTCTGGCTCTGGCTCTGTGTGTCTG